CCTCTTTCTTTTTTTTGGCTCTCGCCTCATTTTCCGCGCAGACAAAACACCGAAAATCCCGTTCCTCGGTCTTTCTTTGCTTCCAAACCCCACGGAAACGCTCGCTACGCAGGCTATTGCTCGGCTAGAGGGAAATACGTCTAGCTTCTTGTTGAACTTGTCGAATAAGCATCATATCAATCATTCATGACACTTAGTCATTTACAGTATAATGGAAGATATTTGTTCACAGACGTGCAAATTTCCAGGCAATTAAACAAAAGAACTCTTTGTTTCAACAGCCAGTACATGGTTCTCTGGTTAATTTGGCACACTAATAACAACAGAGTTGACAGAACACTTTAAACTGGCAAATGAGTTTTCCAACATTGAAAGGGGCAGGTGGCAAGTGTTTAAAGGACGTTGAGGTCATAATTTCACGGGTTCCTTCTAGTAAAACTACAGACAATTTTGACGAGGCTTGTTGATCAAACTATGCACTGAAAACTGAAACTGAAACTGCATTAAAAGTAGGCTTCAAGAACTCTTTCCCTATGTGAGTCTTTATTCAATTCGTATTAAGCAAGCGGCCTTTCCACAGTTATACCATGTCCATTGATAGTTAAAAAAAGTAAAATGTTGTCCGCAAGGAATACTTTACAATGCGAAAAAAAGTGCGGGTAACAGTCTGATTTGCAGTGCTGATAATTTCACCACAAATATGAATGTTAACAAAAAGGTTCAAATAAAGAACCCATGTTCCATGTTTTACGATTGTACCATGAATTTTTGAGCAAAATAGATATACTTGAACATATAAAGTTTCACCTTAATTTTTCTAGACATTTAAATAAAAGCTATGATCTTTTTCTTAGCTAAAAAACAATTCCTTCAATTGTTGCATGGTGTCCTCGGGTGACGTCACTTTATGGCCTTTGGTTCGTTTGTCCATGTAGATTTCAAAGTCATTTCCTCCCTGAAGAAAATTAGAAAATAGAGTTATAGAACAGTTTTATTAAAGAACATACACATACCACTTCATAAGAATAATTCTGATTGAAATTATATGAAATGACGCACATATTTGTTAAAAATTATGCATGAAATTATACACATGATTTGTTAACATCGATAAGAGGCAAGAGTTACCTGATAGCATTTATCACCAAAGAAATGAATTTCCCTGTACCCATCATTTTCAACATGTCTCAGGCAATACGTTTTGTCCCAGCCTTTTGGGAAGACATCAAAACTTATTTGACCTCCTATGCTTATATGCAGTCCATAATCAGCAAATTTTTCTCTCAAAGTGGCCACAAACTTATCTCGAACTTTGTGAACCTGTGGAAAACAACAGATCACAAGCCAGGTAATAAAATACCAAAATTAATTTCTACCCCAGTAAACAGAACAAGGATGATTGAGATCTCAAGCCTGAACTAACTGAAGCCTTTAACTCTTTGAGTGTTCAGTTCTTTTCTGTGTCAAAAATGAGTTCTACAGAGATCCCTGTAGAGTGTATACCTAGTTTGTGTGTGGGTATGAAGTAATTCAGCAACAATACTGCAATAATATCCATCTCTGCCAAGCTTTATGACACTAGACAAGTATAGAATTCTTCAGACTAAATTTCAAGCATCTATCAAAATGGGTGTTAAAGTGAACACACCAAAACTCAGGTCTTCAGGGTTAATACCTCAGGCTATGAAATCTTAAACTCTTTCAGTCCCAGCTTGTAATGCAGCAGTAATACTGTCTTAGGATATGAAAAAAATGACAGGAAAAGACAGAGCCTGGTCACAAGAAATTAAGCCATCATGATCATAAAGGGATGCTTTAATATTTTGTTTTACAAGAATTAACAAAATATGTATGAAAATCAAGGCATGCAATTATTTCCTGGCATATTAAAAAGACGAGCTATTGAAAGTATAAATGCAACAGCCCAACTTATAAAACAGCTCATGCTTTGCTTTTGCACATTATTGTTAGATATCACTCACAAGAATTGACCTCTTTGACAGCATCACCATCAGTAGTGCTGCCATCATGATCATCCTCAATGTTATTATCACCATTGCCATTTAATCATCATCATTGTCATAAAATTTGGACATTTTATTTATCCAGGGGAGGGTCATGGAATTTTATGACAAGTTCCAGGGGAGGGTTGGGACATTTTCATGACCCTTACCTTGGAAGGGTCATTTTATTTTCATCGCTTACCGGTAACTGAAAATCTCCACCCCACTCCCCCTCCGCCTGCTAATTTCTGACAAGTCCCTAATATCTGCATGCAGATGGAGAGCTGTTGCGTGGCTCACAACAAGCTTACAGTGGATTTGTCAGAAATAATTAGAAATCATATTGGCCACAAGCTACATTGTAATATTAAAAAAAACCACTACTCTTCTAAACGTTTTTTTTTCCAGTTCCTAGCAAATTTATGAGTCCTGTTGGACTGCACTCCCAGGAGCAAAAGATGTGCCCCAAATTCTACTTCCCAGCGGAGGTTTCTTTCTCCATCTTTCAATTTCTCTCAGCTGAGGGAGGTGGGGAGGTGGGGAATGAAGGACATTTTGCCACTCAATACTCTCAAGAGGGTGGATAACTAATTAGAAATGCCGGTATATAAAGAACTTGGAACAACCCTTTTTGATTTGACAAGAGCTAAATGCATGTACACACAAGTCATGTTGAGTTCATGATTGTGGTTTCTCTCAAACAAGTGTTTCCTAACAATGGGTCTGGTAAACATCTAATATTATTGAAAACACCAAACAGTGTTTTGGACAGAATTGGTTCCTTACAAACCTTGTCATACTCAAAGAATGCTATCCTTTCCTCTTGTGTGCAGTTTCTCCCAATGGGTGAAACATTTAACATGCCATTTCGAAACTCAATAAAGGTCCCTCTGAAGTTAAGAAAAGACAAACCAACAGATACATGCTAGGTGAGTTTGACACAAAGGAACTCTCAAACACAAATTATTTAATCTGACTGTTTAAAATACAAATGAGATAACGACTTAGTTACTTCAATTTCCTTTGATGGCCATTATACTTTTATTAACAGGTTTAATGTTTATTAACAGGTTTAATGACACAAACATATGTATCATAGGTCAAGTGACAGCACCTTTTCATTGTTCTTAGTTGTCATAAACAACCTCAATACCTCATGGACATTAAAGCCTCAGTCACAATTCTTTCTGGCTACAGCCTTGTAGATTACACCGCCAAGAAATACAGCTGAACTAGTTAATTACATGTAAAGTTAAATATTTATATAATTCTATATTGCAATAAATTGATAAATTAGAAAAATTACAGTTACTGTAATGTTAAATGTACTAAGAATTATCAAACATACAAATTACATGTACCTCTTAACAGGAATATCCAAATCTGCAATGTACTTCAAGCAAAAATTGATGAAAGTCTTAAGCTTTTCTTCACCAATAAAGGTTTTGATGTTCTTTAAACAACACATAAACACAATGTTAGTTCCTGACTAAATACATTACACCATAGATGCCTAGCACAGATCCAAATACACACCTCAAGGTCTCACACCCCTGGAACACACAGAAATTTGAAACAAAGAAAGTACATTTAACAACAGATCTAGTCAACTCAGGACTTGAAAAAAACTTGAATCATGGCTTGCCCTTTGGACAAGCAGCTCTCAAATTTTCCCTGGGCAAGTCTTAGTTTATTATTTTTTCTTTCATTTTAGTAGAAAGACAACAGTCTGTGACAACTGTCTGTGATATCTTCCTGTGAGATCTCTGCAGAGCCATCTCTTAGGGATTTTTCTGATCTGGCTAATCTCCATGTGAATATTAGAGGTCCTCGAGATTATTTTCCTTATTTTGATCCACAATCTACCTATAGTATGACGATATGTGCTGCTGCTCAGGGTTGTGATTTCAGAATTCCTGATCTATAAATTAAACAGGGTATCCATGCTCAAGATGTTTCACAAACTTCAAAGTATCAGCAGCAATTACAGAGTATTCATAAAGCCATTAATATATCTTCTATAAAGAGTATTAAAAATTGGCCTATTTCTAGAATGGAGTATCATTTAAGTATATGCAGCTTCTTCCTAAAATGGGGTCCACATTTGGAGCCCTGAATACCCCACTGCGATGTTCTCTAGCATCATATACATGTATAACATAATTGAGGTCCCCACACGTGGGTCCACTGGGAATAGGGAAGAGTATAATCCAGCCTCCAGGACGGGCCACCTCTCTATAATTGCTACTTTTCGTTTGTCCCAGCTGATGGTCCATACATTCATTCTTATTTTAACCTTTCTACAACAGCCACCTTTCCACAATGGCAATGGCCACTAAAGTGCATCCCAGAGCTGTCACAATAACCTCTCAACACTGGCCAGTTAATCAATAGCTGAGAAACAGTGTATACAAAACCCCATTTTTGTAGTAAAAGTCCAAAAAGCTTGATTTGTAAAGTGCTTTATTGGTCTCTGTTTGATTATGTTTCGTAGTTGCGTGCTACAATTAGCAGTTTTTAAAACTACAAATAGTGTAACCCCCACAAGAAAATGTGTCACATAGCACCCCTACGTCCCCATAACAGCCACCTCTTTACAACGACCACTTTTGATTCACTTTTCTCTGTCACCAAGGTGGCTGTCGAGGAGGGGCTTGACTGTAGTTGGGGTAAAAATAGCGACTTCGAATCACTTAAGCACAGATTGCAAACAAACTAAATAAGGATAAACTAACCTGTGTGGCTATGAGTTCGCCATTTTTGTAAGCTACAAGGCCATTCTCAGGAAAAACATAATCATATAGACTCGTCACTGAGAAATCAGGAGAGAAGAGGGTCAGTTGATCACAACATCTTTGGTATTAACAAGAACTGATCAAGATAAAATAAAAGAACTATGCATGTACCAGCTCATGCTATGAGCATAGCTTGACAAACGAAGAATTTTCACCACAAAGACTTAATAACCGATGACTTTTCACAATATGATCTCACCATCTTCTCCTCCCATCTGTTCTTGAAGTTTTGGAAAATCAGAACCTCCAACTAAACCAACTGCAACCTTCTTACGGAGTTCTTTCATGAATTCTTTCATTTCTGGAGTAACAACCTACAATATTCGTTCGAGTTATTTACAGAGACCTTTGTACACAAAATGACCTCGCAAACTATGTTTCTGTGAGCCCCTTTGCCCCAAACAAAACAATCCGGAGAATTTAGCTTACCAATCTGGCAGGAGTCACAGTTCCATCGACATCAAACAAGCACAAAGTATCTTTACAATCCTTGACCGCTGCCATGTTTCTTGTCGTGATAAAAGTTCGACCGGCCGGGAAGAGTTTGACCGAGAGTGCTCGGTGACACGTCAACCAACACACCCCCAAACTTAACCAATCAACGTGTAGCATTCTTCGGATAAAGTTAACAGTTGCCACGGAAATTCTTCAATTACATCACTGTTTTTTTAAAAAAAATTCGATGAAGATGTGGTGAAGAAATTTTCAGTGATTGTTAATGCATTCATGTAGACCGGTGGATTCACTTGCTTTCCGCAGCTTCCTCGGCAGACGCTCTTTTTAGGCTCGTCATGCAATCTTTCCTAACCTCGTTCTG